CAACTCATCCGAGGCCACCCGCTCCGAGGGGACACGGGTGACGTCCTTTCTGAAGGTGTCAGAAACAACAGTGTCGCAGCAGGAGGAGGGAAAGGGACAGGAGGAGGAGGAGGATGAGGAGGAAGAGGTGTCAGACTATTCCTACGAGGCGGGGGAGCTGCAGCAGGGCTGGCTGGAGGACTCCATCAACTGGCAGCGGACGTTCAGCGTCAGCTCCGTGGACTTCGAGCTGCTGCGCTCCGACTGGAACGACCTGCGCTGCAACGTGTCGGGAAACCTGCAGCTGGGCGAGAGCGAGGTGGTGGACGTGGTGGCCCAGTACATGGAGAGGCTCAACGAGAAGAACGGAGGGTGCGGAGGGAGTGGGATGCCGGCGGGAATTCACGGGGGTGGGTCTTGGATCGCGGGAAGCAGAGCTCACGATGACGGTGATTTCAAGGCTTCTCTTTTCCCTGCAGGATCTACACCCTCCTGAGGATCATCAACGTGGAGAAGCGGCGGGACACGGCGCGGGGGAACCGGTACCTGCTGGAGCTGGAGCTGGCGGAGCGGGGCCAGCGCACGGTGCGGCTCTCCGAGTACGTCTACGTCCTCCTGCACCAGGGCAAGCAGGACGACAGCGCCGAGGCCAACCCCGACGGGCTGGCCCTGGGGGCCACCGAGCCCCAGCCCAGTGCCTGGAGCATCCTCTATGGAAAATCTGTCCTGTGCCGGCCGCTGCGGCTCAGCTGGAGGCAGGATGTCATGGTGCACTTCGTGGTGCCGGGTAGGTGACAGCAGGACACGGCTCTCCGCGATCTGTGCTGCTCCCTCAGCATCCTCCAGCGGGGTGAGGGTGTCACCGTTCCTCAGAGGGGGTTGGTTTGGCTGGGAGGGGGTGCTGTGGGTCCCTGCTGTGAGCCTGAGGGATGTGTCTCCGGCAGTGAAGAACCAGGCCCGCTGGGTGCAGCAGTTCATCTCGGACATGGCCGGCCTCTACGGGGCCACGAGGGATGCCAACTTCAACGTCATCCTGGTGGACTTTGACAGCGAGGACATGGATGTGGAGAAGGCCTTGCAGGATGCCCGACTACCCCGGTAACTCCCAGCCTCCTCCTCGTTTTTGGGGGTTTAAACTACTTTTCCTTGTGGTTTTGAGGGTGCAGAAACTTGATTCCATGGGGGGACCCTCAGCTTGAGCTGTAGCACCTGCGTCATCCTGAGAAGGCATCTTGCCCCATGCTGGTGGTTCCTGTCCCCTCCTGGCTGTGTCCCTGTCTATCCCCAGTGCTACTTGCCCTGTCCTCTCTCCCCAGGTTCCAATACCTGCGGCGCACAGGGAATTTCGAGCGCTCTGCCGGGCTCCAGGCCGGCGTGGACATGGTAGAGGTGAGCAGGGACAGGGACCAGCTCTGGCTGTGGCTTCTCTCCCAGGGCTGTTCCTCTCTGATTCCCCTGCCCCGTGTCTGTCCCTTCCAGGACGAGCACAGCATCGTGTTCCTGTGCGACTTGCACATCCATTTCCCTGCCAACATCCTGGACAGCATCCGGAAGCACTGCGTGGAGGGGAAGCTGGCCTACGCTCCCATCGTCATGAGGCTGAGCTGTGGCAGCTCCCCTCGGGAGCCCAACGGTGAGCAGGGACCCCTTTCCCACTGGGAGCCCCTCAAAACCAGGCCATCACCTGGTGGATTTCCGCAGGAGGTGGCACAGATGGGGATGGACCCGTGGTGGGAAGAGAGGTTGGGATGGGGAGGCTCCCAGGTGGTGGGGAGAGCACAGAGGGGATGACGTGCATTTGGGGGTCCCCGCAACCCTCACCTCATTGCTCCCCACCTCCAGGCTACTGGGAGGTGAACGGCTTCGGCCTCTTTGGCATCTACAAGTCAGACTTTGACCGTGTGGGAGGGATGAACACGGAGGAGTTCCGGGACCGCTGGGGCGGAGAGGATTGGGAGCTCCTGGACAGGTGAGCCTGGGGGTCCTGCAGCCCCTAAACCCCCAGGAACAGGGTCAGCCATGTGGATTTGGGTGCATCCATCAAGCTGGCTGGGGGCTGGATGATGGGATGGCGAAGGGGAAAACTTCCCTTTGGGAGGGCCATCTCCATCTGTCAATCTATCCAGAGCCTTGTCCCTCTGTCCATCCATCTCTTGAGCCCCATCCCTCTGTCCTCAATCTGCAGGGAGCCCTCTCCCTCTGTCCATCCTGACCCTTGTCTGTCCATCCTATCCATCCCATCCATCCTATCCATCCCATCCATCCATCCATCATCCATCCATCCATCCATCCCATCCATCCATCCATTTGTCCATCCCCTGAGCCTTGTCCCTCTGTCCCTGCATCCCCTGAGCTCTGTCCCTCTGCCCACAGGGTGCTCCAGAGCGGGCTGGAGGTGGAGCGCTTGCGCCTCAGGAACTTTTACCACTACTACCACTCCAAGCGTGGCATGTGGAACGCCCGCAGCAAGAAGCCCTCCAAGGACTAGTGCCCAAGCCCAGCCCGTAGACACTGACCCCTGGCACCTGCCTGTCCCCTGCCACCACGGCCACTGTGCCCCAGTGCCAGCACGGGGGGCACCCAGCACCCGCCGCGGTTTTCCTGGGGAGGGGGGAGCAGGGAGGGCCGTGGCGAGTGGCGGTGGTTTTTTTCTTAAGGATCTAATTTCTTAGTCAGCAATGAGTTCATTAACTCCTTAGTGCCAGTGGGGCCCGGGGGCTTTGTTGGGTCCTGGAAGGCTGTGCCAGGCTGGGGATACCGGAGGTGGAATTGTGGTGCCCAGGACCTCTTTGCAGCCCCTTTCCTGCGTTGCCTCTCCTTAAAACACCCAGTACCTCATCCTCGTGTCAGGCTGGGGAGCTGAGCTTTGGGGAGGGACTAAGAACCCCCTGGGGCTGCCCAAACCCTCCTGCTCCCCTTCCAGGACCCACGGAGGGAAGGGGGGGTGTGGCTGTGCCCTGCACTCGGGACATGCTGTGGGTGGGGGGCAGAACCCTGAGGCTGGCACTGCTTGTGCCGGGGGGGCTGGGCTGGGGGGGGGACAGGCAGAGCCTGGAGCAGGTACGGGCAGATGACGTTTCCAAGCTAATTTCTGTGAAATTATGAGGTAGGAAGCTGTTTTCAGGAAGTTTTTGTCTGTTTGGTTTGGTTTTTTTCTTTTGGTTTTTTTTTTTGGTTTTTTTTTTTTTTAATTCTTAAAAAATTAAAATCAATGTCTTGGCTGGGATTTCCCTCCACTCCGTCACCCCCACACCCACACGAGGATGCAGGGCATGGGAGCCAAGCTGGCCTTTGTCCCTTGGTCCCCGAGGGTCCCCTCTCTGTGGTGGGAGTGGGCAGCAGCATTCCGTGTTGTTTCCATGCGAGGAGGAGGAGGCAGCACCCTGTTTGATGCCTGACCGCAAGCCCGAGCTTGCTGAGCCTCCGCCCCACACCTGGGTTCCACCCAGCTCCATGGGGGGCTGCCCTGGTTCCCTGTGCTCCTGCATGTCGTGGCACACTTGTCCCTGCCCACCCCTGTCCCAGCTCTCTGCTGGTGCTCCCCCTCACCTGTGTCTGGTTGTGGTGGGTGTCTCAAGGGTTCGGTCTCATCCCCCCTGCCATGGGTTCCTGCTCCTCAGCCAGGTGCCCCATCTCTCAGATCCCCTGGGCTCCTCCCTGGCATAGTCTTGGAGTTTCCCCTAAGTGTTTCATTCCCCATTTGCATCACCCACTCTGAGCATCCCAAGTTTGAGGTGAGGATGGACAAGGGCGGCTCAGCCACCCATGTGCCATCAGCAAACAGCCACAGTTTGGGGCTTTTTGTCCCATATTTGGTACCTGTGGCCCCAAGCTCTGTTGGGAAGGGACCATCCTGGCAGGCAGGAATTGTTTCTCCCCTCTGCTTTCCCTGCTCCCTGTTTTTTTGCAGCACTTTGGAAACTCTTTGTTGTGGGTGAGGGCTGTGCCCGCTGCGCCGGGAGCCGGTCTGTGGCTGGGCAGAGCGGGTGGCCCCACAGCCCCCGGGCCACCAGTCCTATCCCAAAACCAGCCTGGCCTTAGGCACAGCTTTTCCAGCAGCTTCCCAACCGGGAGAGCTCCAAAAGCCACCACCATCAGAACGGGCCCAGCCCAATCCAGAGCTGCCTCTGGTGCTGGGAGGGACTGGTGGCAGCAGTGCCATCCCCACTGGTGCTGGGGACAGTTTGGGGCCAGCCGATGGTGTCTGCTTGGGACAGGGCCAGCAGCACAGCACCGGAGGGTTTGTTTCTCCGCTGGTGACTGAGCTGTGGCCACGGGATGACACAGGGATCGTGGGGATTGCAGGAGCCACAGGGAGCTTCTCCCGGGCCAGGTGTTGGAGCCCCAGGTGACAGCGGGGGTTCGGGCAGGTCCCCACTCCTGGAGGATCAGCCCTGGCCCTCCCTGCCCCGCGGGGACACTGCGAAGGTGTCGGGGCTTGTCCGGGGCGGTGGAGGCGAACTCCAGCCTGGAATTGCCTCTCTGAGGGGCTGCACCAGCCAGGGGCCTGAGAGGGGAGGTCGTGGGGGCTGGGGGGAGCACAGGGACCTCCTGACACCCCAGGCTGGGAATGGGCCACACCCATGTGTGGCAGCAGTGGCACCTCCTGCCCTGCACTGGGCTTTGCCGGGGGCTCCCTCCTGGCATCCCTTGCTGAGTGTGGGGTGTGGTGGGGGGCCTGGGTTAGTGGTGGTAAGAGCTAAGTGGTGACCCCCCCCAAACTGGTTTGGCCCGTTTCAAACGCTCCCTCTCAGCTTATCTGGCTTCAAAGGGCTCCTGCTCCATCCCACGCACACAAACACGCTCCCTGCGAACCAGGGGGAGCCCCCTGCATCCCAAAAAATGTGTGTGTGTGCCCTCCAAGCACAGCCTCTCCTCCAGTTTCTCCTTCTCGCACCCCCAAACCCTCCCTGCTGCACCCATGGGCGCCCCGAGCTGGGTGTTCAGGGGGATGTGGTGGGAAGGACACATTGGATCATGGCCACGGTGGCGGTGGGGATCCCTGGGGACTTTGGAGCATCATGAATTCGACCGAGACGTGGCTCCGCTGTGGGGGCTGGCCACCCCCCCTCCCGGCCTCCAGCCTCCCCCGGACTCCTGGCCGTGCTGAAGATTTTGTGGAGCCCCTGTGAGCCCCGAGATCCCAGCCTTGGCGGGGAGGCGAGCGGGTTCCATGCAAAACCCGGGCGAGGAGACTGGTTGGGCGAGGTGCGGGGCGGGCCCGTGCGCCCCACGCCCGCCGCAGACGCCGGCGCCCACCCGCACCCCGCAGCACCCAGGGGTGCACCTGCCCGCCCGAGGATGCTGCAGGACAGCG